AACTATCAAATATATATATATATATATATATATATATATATATATATATATATATATATATATATAAATCCTGAAGACCCAGGAACTACCTCTATTTCTTTGATCGACTTTAATTTAGATTAACGTGTGTTTGTTTTTTCATTGGACTGGGAATGTAAGGCACTGGATGATTGAATGTTCTTGTTAGTAAAATAGTGCTGGGTATAATATGACAGAACTATAAATTATATATTAAGAAATATACATTTTCCTTACCAGTAGCACGACTTAGAGTTTCATGCACAACGCACTCTTCATGTACTGAATTAAAGGAGACAGTTACATAATTTAATTTTTTTTAAATATGTCTGCTATCTCAATAGTGGCGCAGTTCATATTTTAAAATGGGATTGTTGTTTAAATAAATAAAAAAATGAATTGTGTATTTAAATTAAACATAAGCACGAATAGAACTGGGAAAACATTATCATTTTTGTATGTAAAATAAACAGAACAAAGTTAATGACACACATTCACACAAATTATTTACATCAAGTTAAGAACACAGAATTATAATCTAACTATTAATATTACATATACATATTTTTTTAAAATTACAATACAGAGTTACCAATGACACAGCACATCTACATATGTAAATTATCATATATATATATATATATATATATATATATATATATATATATATATATATATATATACAGTGTAACCCGGATATAAGAGAGTTGTGGGGGCCGGAGAAGAAGTCTCTTATATCCGGGTTTCTCTTATATTCGGGTTTGGTCTATTATATATACATCAACACAGGCTCTAATTTGGGACCAGATAAAATCTCTCTTATATCCGGGTTTCTCTTATATCTGATTTACATGTATATATATATATATATATATATATATATATATATATATAGGGCAATTGAAAATAACACCCATTTTTATGTATGATGGACTGTCCCATCTAACTATAATTTTACAAGACAGGAGGCCCATAACACATAAAATAGGAAGTTCTTTTAGAATCAAACTAGATATGGAAGCAAGTGAATAACGACATTAGATACTATTGAAGAATTATGTATATTTATTAATACATTCATATATATATATATATATATATATATATATATATATATATATATATATATATATATATATAAAAAACTTAAACACTAATATTAGTGTTTAAGCCTTTTAATATATCTTTACTCTGTCCTGGACATTGAGTTCTACCTAGATTCTTCCTCTTGGAATTTTTATTCAAAAAATATACATGTATGGGTATTTATATATTTTTGCATATGTATATATTTACCACTAATATTATATATATATATATATATATATATATATATATATATATATATATATATATATATATATATTATAAATTAACTGATTTAAAATATGGTTCCATCGCTACACATAAATTACCATGTTTCAAATACAGAAACTAAAACTTTCAAATTCAATTACATTATTAAAATAAAAGCATTAGTTGTGTTTCATCATCAAACGAATTCTGGAACCAAAATTCGCTTGAAGATGAAACAAACTAATGCTTTTAATTGAATTTGAAATTTTTAGTTTCTATTTTTGAAACATGGTAGTTCCTGTATAGAGATGGAACCATATTCTTAAATCATTTAATTTATAATATTTATGCTCTGTAAATATACATTGAGCACTCTTTTGTAAAAATAAACGTATCAATAAGAACACCGGCTTATATATCTTACTGTTCTTTCTTTTTTTACTAATATATATATATATATATATATATATATATATATATATATATATATATATATATATATATTAATTACGATAAACGTGCAATCAATTCACAAATTCATGAATTATTCACACAAAAACAAATGCAAAGGTTAATGAATTAATTGGCGAGAAATCCATCATCGCAAACAATTCAAATAATATAAAAAAACCTCCGAATCCGTTATGAATGAAAAGATCCTTGCTTCTATAATTTTCTGCCGTATTAGTTCTTATTTTTACTACAAGTTTTCGTCTGTTCCTACAGACATCTTCAGGTATGGAATAGATGTTGTTCTTGTTTTATTACTAAGAGAAAAAACAAGAACAACATGTAGCTTCGGAGGTTTTTGTATATTATTTGAATTGTTTGCGATGATGGATTTCTCGCCAATTGAATCATTAACCTTTGCATTTGTTTTTGTGTGAATAATTCATGAATATATATATATATATATATATATATATATATATATATATATATATATATATATATATATATGCATGCAGGTTACTTAGTAGAAAGTGCTCAATAATCGTGATATAGCTAACATATTCACTTGCGTGGATAGTAGTTTGTAACCCCGCGTTTCATCTTATGTGATCATCAGACAAACTGTTTTTTTTTTTATAAGTGTATCTCTTTATGATTATTTGTGTTTTATTATGTGTGTTTGGTGGAGGGGGGATTTTCTTATGTGTTTCTTACGATGACACATTCACGTACATAGACACATACATTAAGTTGTATGTATTTTGGTTCGTACAAACACACCCATATCAATAATCTGAGGTTAGGCATAGTTACACCTCCATACGTTCGAGCACACACATATATACGCAATTGTCTTCGCATGTATATGTTTATAAACAGTAATTCGGACTTACGCTTCTCTCTGTCTGAATGGTGAGCAGTACATCAGAACAAATTAGTGTTCCCATTGGGGTTACAGGTTCGATTCCTGTCGGAGAAGCACATATTTTCTACGAAATTTCTCCGGTATTCAGATTTTATGGGTTAGTAAAAAATATGCTAAACAAATTAATATAAATATATTTGATTCGAAACAAGTAAACATGAAAATTTAGCTAACTATTATTTAATTTTATTCAATAAAACCACTACTAGCATCAATAATTGCCTCTACACGAGGTCGAAATCGGCTGCAACTTCTGATTCATTGGTCCTTATTTATGTCAGACATTACTCGAACTATTGCAGCTTTAAGAGAGTCTTTGGTGTTATGAGGCTGTTTATTAATCTCCTTCTCAACAACGCTCCACACATAATAGTCTAGTGGATTGAGATCTGGAGAGTTAGGAGGTCAAATGTTGGGTGTGATGTGGTCGGACAAATGGTCAGCCATCCATTCTTGTGTTCGTAGAGCCTTTTGGGATGAAGCCGAGTCTTGCTGGAATATATAAAGCCTGCCGTTGCATATGTTGTCAATCCAGGGCTTGACAATTGTTTCTAGAACATCAATGTAAGCAGCAGCATTTACTCTAAGACCTTGTAGAAAAAGTGTGGTGGCATAAGATGTCCTTTATTGCTAACAACAACCACTACCATAACACTTGAAGGTAAGTTTGTGCGCATCACTCTTGGCACCTCCGAAGGATCTGAACTAAGCCATCTGTCATTTCTTCTGTTAAGTTTTTGAATTTCACCAAAATTTATCTCATCTGAGAAAAAATAAATCACACCAGCGTCTGAAGGATTTTAATGTTTGTTTAAAAGTCGTTTGGATTGGTTTAAACGGTTTTATTCACTTTTTTTCAGGCATAAATTAACCTATTTTTATCAGGTAGGACTTGTATCTAGTGTCCTCATGAACACTCCTTCTGATTGTTTTTTCAGACACATGCAGCTTTTGGCCATTGACCTCATTGCTTAACCTCGGTTTTCATCAATTGTCTGCTTGACTTCCTGAATAAATTCGGGTGTTCTCACTTTATCAGAACGTGCAGAAAGTCTTTTACGTTTTGATACAGACATTGGGGAACTTTTAAGGTCCTCTAACTCTTTTCGTACCTTGTAACTCTGATAAAATGTGCAATATCCAAATCGTTATGATCAGCCTTTAATGCCACAATCACAGAATGCCTTTTCATTTGATTTGTTATCATAGGGTTTGCCATTCTTGATTTCTGAAAAATAAAAGCATTACAAGTTAGTGGGAAGCAGTATTAATCTTAAATCTGTATGTCTTCAAATACCAGCCACACCTTATATATATATATATATATATTATAATTATAAAAATTTTATAACATAAGTATGTTATAAAATCATTTACAAAATAGCCATTTTAAAAACACACTCTGTGTCTTATCAAGTGATGGTGTTGAAAATAAAATAAATGGTTTAAATAAATTTATTTTCTTTTCAACACCATCACTGATAAGACAATAAAATAAATGTATCAAAATAACTTTTTCTATCTGGATTTTATAACATACTTATGTTATAAATTTTTTTCTAAAAAATTATATCTGCTCTATTTGTATTGAGCACCCTTTTAAGAATAGTAATTGTTGGTTATTAGAATTCATTCCGTGTATACCAATTATATACTTTGATATATATATATATATATATATATATATATATATATATATATATATATATATATATTAATTATCTATCTGAAAATATAGATTTAAGAGGCTGAATAGAAAAAATACAGGTTAGAAGATGTGTGTTTTAAAGTCTTTAAACATAAAGTTAAGATAAAAGTTTCGCTGTCTAAAAAAAATCTTCATTTATAAATGATACATGCCACTGACGTAATAGCTGAGGTAAATCGAAAATGTTTTTACTAGAAAAAAAAATGATCCTAGAATAAAGAAGAATCGCTCATTATGCCATAAATTAAATAAATAGAGATTGATGCGACGTTCAGAAAAAGTATTTTTTTTTTCAACGAGGTTTCGCTTTTGTTCGGATAGAGACAAAAACATGGCGTCGGCAATTGAGGAATTCCGTACAAAATTGAATGATTCGAAACCTATTTAATCAGTTACAATATATCCTTATTTGTTATGTCGGTTCTTCCTTCTGAAAAATAAAAGAAAACAACTTATTTGTCTTCTTTAATATTCCAAGCAACGTTTATCTTTCAATCAGTGTTAATTTTCAGCTTCGTGTCTCTTCGTTGGTCGATATATATATATATATATATATATATATATATATATATATATATATATATATATAAAAGCTTGTTATCATTCTTTCGCAGACGTTAAGAGAAAGAAAACAGAGATATACAAAAGAGAAAAAAAGACAGAGAGAAGGGAGTTAAGATATACAACATGATTAAGCGAAACAGAGAGATTGTGAAAAACGGAGACATATATGAAGAGAAATAGAGAGATGTAATGATTATGAGAAAGAGAGAGAGAGAGAGAGGTTAAGAACAATAGAGAGATCAGGAGATACAGAAAGAGAGAGAGGAGTAAGAAGTAGAAATTAAGAGAAGCTACGAGATAGGGAAATATTAAGAGAAACAGAGAGAGGGGTTAAGAGAAAAAGAGAGAGAGATGGAGAATGAGAGGGAAGGAGGACGCGGTTAAAAGAAACAGAATAAAAGAAATAGCTAGAGAGAGAGAGAGAAATATTAAGAGAAACAGAAAGAGAGAAAAGACGTGAGAAGCAGACATTTAAAGGAGCAGCTAGAAAGAAAGAGGGAGTGATTAAGAAAAACGAGACAGTGGTTAAGAGGAAAGAGAGATATTATGAGAAACAGAGAGGGGGGAGGAAGGGCTCTATTAAGGGAAAAGGGGAGGAAGGTTGAGAGTAACAGAGAGCCTGATTGATAGAAACAGGGAGATAAATAGAAGTTAGACCGCTATTAAGAAAAAAGATAAAGAGACATTAGAAGAAATATAAACTATTGAGAATCAGCGATATTACGAAAAACAGCGAAAAAGAGACAGAGAAAATTAAATAGATACAGAAAGGGAGGGAGAGAGTGAGACTAATAGAAACAGAGAAAGATAGACTAATAGAAACAGAATGAGGGATTAATAGAAACATAAAGAGATTAAAAGAGAGAGATTAAGAGAAATATAAATGAAACAGAGAGAGAGAAAGTGTGTATGTGTGTGTGAGAGAGAGAGAGAGACGGGAATAGAGAGAGGATGATGTGCACTTAAATATTCTCTACAAAACAAGCATAAAATTGCAATCTGTGGGTAAACAGAAAGTAGATGCTCGTTGTCCATCACAATTCAATTAACCATTAAACGGCTTTGAAGAACAGCGGAAAGAAACAGACGCCATGATGTTTTTTTTTACCCCTTGTTTTCTCTTCTACATTATGAATCAGAAACTAACAAAAGACGTTCGACTTTCTCATTCGGACCTAGAACTAAAAAAAGAAAGAGAACAACACCGACATTTATAGATGAAAGCAAACTGCCTTCCGTTCAGGCATATCGATTATCCTGTAAGTCGATTTTACAAAAGAAGCAGCATTGTCCAAGCAGAAAATACAGAACATACTAGATAATACAAATCTGTTTTTATCTCATATATATATATATATATATATATATATATATATATATATATATATATATATATATATATATCGTTTTCTTTTGCTTTTTTTTTTTTCTTTTTTCGCTTTTCCTTTCTTATATGATTTTTTTACCTATTTTGAATGTTTTATTCACTATTTTCTTCGTTCTTTTTTTATGTGTTTGTCAACGTATTTCTCTTTTTTTTTATGTTTTATTTATTCCATAAGGAGTTTTCCATCATTTTATTCCATTTTAATATCTCAACATCTTCAAAAATTTAAATAGAACGTCAACAGCCATCTTTTATCTTCTTGAACTCTATTCTTTCATTGTCTTTTCTCTTCACTAGACTTTTTATTCTGTTTCACTTTCTCCTTCCATTGTCGTGGCAATATCGCTCTGCTTGGGGTGAGTTAAAACGCACAAGGAGATTTGGATTAAGATGATCGACATCATAAAACTCTATGTTTTAACTAAAAAGCGAAAAAAAAATGCTATTTGTCGGGAAATTGACTCGGCAAAGAAGACAGTGAAGGTCGAAATTTATTTTGGCGAATCAGGATTTATTTAATTTCCTGATAATACAGGGTGCGATTGATAAATTGTCGTCTAAATGACGCCAAAAATGAAAATAACACTGACATCTCCTTTTAACAGATATACAGGGTGCGATGGATATATTGTCGTCTAAATGACGTAAAAATAGAAATGACGCTGACATCTCATTTAAACAGATATACAAGTTCCGATGGATAAATTGTCGTCTAAATGACGCCCAAAATGAAAATAACACTGACATCTCATTTTAACAGATATATGTATCGAAATTACACAAAAATATCTTGAAATACTAAAGATTAAATTTGTTGAATGAAATCGCCATTGGCTTCAACCACAGCCTCCAGACGGCTTCGAAATCTCTTGCAACTCTTCTTGACGGTCTTCTTGTTTACGTTGGTGAATGCTGCCATAATCCTTGCCTTCAGTTCATTATTCGTGTTACAAGGAGTTTTGTTGGTCTCTCGCTCAACTGCGCCCCACATATAATAGGCAAGGGGATTGTAATCTGGGGAGTTAGGTCGCCAGATGTAATTGGTGATGTGATTGCAGAAATTGTCTGACAGCCATGACTGGGTTCTTCTGCCTGTGTAGCATAGTTCAGAGTCCTGATGCCAGACATAGGGTCTTCCATCAGCCACCCTTTTGACGCGGGACAGCACTACCTCAGTTGATTATGAGGCACTTATCAAAAAGTTCGGGAGTTCTTTTCTTATTAGAATGACCGTGCTTTCATAGTCAGTATTAGACTCATACAACTCTTTCTGAATCCTCTGCACCGCCCTCAGATTGACACCCAAATACTCTGAATTCTTCGTATTGCAGCTTCCAGCGCGAATAACATAGTACAGTATTTCTAGTGGAGTGAATTGCCTCATTGTGATCTTTTTCTCACAGACTGTGCCTAACTGACCTTACTATACTGTGCAATAAACACAATCAAAAACACAACGCGCATGCGCGAAATTAAATATATAAACTTGCGACATTTTAACCATTGCATCCCGCATTTGGTTCACAAAGAGGTACACGACGAGGCAATGTAAAAAGTAAATGACCATTTATTGATTAAACAAATCGAAGAATGCGAGAAAAATACGAAAAGACATACTGAACATAAAAAAAATATGTGAACATGGAATTGAATGAAATACTTTTAGAGAAGGTAAATAGTGCTAAGTAAAAGTAATTCAAACCATAAATTAAACTAAGTTGTTCAATTTCCTTGCAAATTAGACTTGATAAAAAGGGCGCGATTCTATATAAAAAACAGAAAAAAGACATGTATACTGAGAAAAAGAAAGAGGCACAGTATAATATTTCATAATAAGCACGTATCTGAGTTTGTACCGTAACAGCTAATGTTTTCAAAAAAAGAAAGCGTAACGTCTTCCATAACATTTTTATCAGCTTTAAAAGTACTGTATCCTCATTGTATGATAATAAAGATTCAATGTGCATAGAGTAGGAACTCTAGGAACATTCGCCGTAAACATTATGGCCGTAAGAAAATTTGCCTCAGGTATGTTCGCCATAGAAAACATTTGCCGTATAAGATTTTTGCCGTAAGACAACTGCACCGCATTTTTTTCTTTTTTAATATGCGAAGTAACTTGTTATCAAATATATCTGGTTCACAGTATTGTTATTTCGATTAAAACTTTTTCGTAAGTGAAGTCATACTAACATGCACCGAAATGTGTGGAAACTAATAGCGTATTTGTAAAAGGAAGAGATATGCACAGAAAAAGAAAAAGTGTGATTTAGATCGAAGAAAATATATATTGATATCATTGTAAGACTTCAGCGGAAAATGCTTCAGTCCATTCCAAAGAAACACATTATATATGAAGCATTGCTTGGAATTTGCACACATTTTGAATTATTTCTTTTTTAATTTGATATATTTTTAGTCTTTTGTTTTTTTTTTTTTATAAAAGACATCCATATATACTTGATAACAAGGTATTTCGCATATTAAATTGGACATTACTCTAAAAGGAACGTTCAAGATAAGGGTATCGAAAAAAAAAGCGGCGAAATTGTCTGACGGCAAAAATCTTATACGGCGATGTTTCCTAAGGCGAAAATTCCTGAGGTGAGTTTTCTTACGGCAAAAAATATTTAGGGCGAATATTCCAGATACGCTTTTATATAGCAGTTTTTCCTCAATTCATTCATATTGTTTAGTTTCACACGTTACCAAATCACAGTTCAACCGATTAAAAATGTTTCCTTGAAATAAAAAAAACAACAAAACAAATAAAAACGAAATAATAGTAGCATATTATCGAAATATAAGACACACCGTTGTATAAGACGCAATCTTATTTAGAAAATATAGAGATATATAAATAACTGCCTAATTAGCATATTTAAGACACAGACTAAAGTATTAAAGGAATGGTAGCCTCGGTATGCGAGTATCGTTTGCTGACCAGCAGAGTGGGGTCACTCCTTTGCCAATTATATTCGCTCAAGATCCAGAGGCCCATCCGAACTAAGGGCATCTCCTTTGGGAGTATTAAGGTCTATTACCCGGTGCCTGTGGCGTCCCCAAATTTGGGAAATAACGAACGGGCTTGAGAAATTTTATGCGATATTGTCGTTGAAAACGCTTTAATCTCGACCTTGTTTGATATTCGGTAGCGACGTCGGCGTACTAAAAAATCGCTCTATCGGTATTGAGTTAACCTAACGTTGAATTGATAAAATACGAAGGAAAACTTATTTCATAACATAAAACAAAGATTCAGAAAAAAAAAAAACATTAGTCGGTTTTAGATTTTAATGAACAAGAATTGAAGCTGGTAATTTCAAAATTCGTATTTTGTTCAAAGGACTAAAAAGCTTCAAATGCAAAATTAATAGAAAATACCGTGAATATAATAAAAAAAAAACTTATTTAATTTAGCTCAACAAATCCTCATTGCTTTCAGTGTCGCTAGGCTTTTTCATTCAATGCAATATAATTATGCCAGACTGTCGAGTAACCAGCAATAAATGAAATACCTATTAGACGATTAGCGAAGTTTATTGCATTAAGCATTCTCATTGGTGCATTGACCATACAATTTTATAAATAACTAGTTCAAACGAATTAAAATATGCATACCTATTTTAATATGATCTATCTATCTATCTATCTATCTATGTATCTATCTATCTATCTATCTATCTATCTATCTATATATATATATATATATATATATATATAGCACAACAATAACAACAGACAATAGAATATGATGAATAAAGGCTTATCGTATGTAAAAACGTTTGGCTCAAACTATATATATATATATATATATATATATATATATATATATATATATATATATATAGATATAGATACATATAATTATAGATAACTAGACTCGTTTAGAAAAACCCTCGAATTTTTAATTTGCTAATAAATCAAATCAATCTCGAGGGAAAAAAGCTTTTAAAAAAAGAAAGAGTTACAAACATGAACTTCTGCCGACAAAAAATCGCACAGATGCAGGTCTGAAGCCCAAAGAAAAAAACCCGATACGAGTAAACAACTAACTAACAAAAGTGCTCAATACAACCGTAGAGCAGACCTAGATACACCTAGTGAGCCAGACGCACCTAACTAGGTTTCACCTAAAGTGATCGTCAGGGAAAGTAAGTCTTACATTCCCTGACGATCCGTTTAGGTGAAACCTAGGTAGGTTTGTCTGGCTCACTAGGTGTATATATATATAGAGAGAGAGATAGATAGGTAGATAGATAGATATAAGATGAGATATTATGGTTATTTACATTATTTACACTATTCAGGTTGTTACCCTCCTTGCCATATTCACAACAATTCGGCCGTTGTATACTCCGGCCTTCTTCAGGAATTTCGAAACAAACCCATTGTTTAGTCCACGTGGAACTAGAATAATCTACCCCTGGGGACAAAATAAAGAGTTTGATGTTTGATTCGAAATCCCAATTACCTGAAGAAGCTCGGAGCGTACAACGGCCAAAGCGTTGTGAATATGACAATGAATATGAGGATAACTGTCCGCATAATGTAAATAATATATATATATATATATATATATATATATATATATATATATATATATATATCCGCCATACGTTTAACGGGCGAGATATACATAGCGTGCTGTTTGTTCAAAATTCAGTTCTTTGGCGTTGAGACTACAGTGACTGCTCCAGGTCACAGGTCTGTGCGGTGATATGTGGAGGCCGCGAATCTGTTCAAACTACAAGCGTCCACTTCTCGCCCTTAACCACGAAGCAAAACGGAATATAGAGCATTACATTTGCTAAAGTCTTGAGTTACTGGAACGTTGTCTATGATGAGAGCTCGACTCTTTTCGGGGCTCGATTCATTTTCTGCCTCGATTTACATCCTTGGAATTGTCCGTGTTTGTATATGACCGCAAGGCAGGGGGAGTCTCAAGTGAAGGTTTTGCTTCCCCTAGATGGACTGACTTCTTGGTCTGTCAAAATATTTCTCCCCATATATATATATATATATATATACACACACACACACACACACACACACACACACACACACACACACACACACACCATCCACATCCATCCACACACACAAAAATACACATAAATATATATATATATATATATATATATATATATGAAGAAAAACATATACGGAAAAAACAAACAAAAATCCTTATATACAATTATGCTGTTTTAATGTTAATATGTCAACGTCGGACGTTTCGGTCTAATAAACCATCTTCAGGACATATTCATAAATTATAACATTATCAATGTCCTGAAGATGGTTTATTAGACCAGAAACGTCCGACGTTGACATATTAACATTAAAAAGCATAATTGTATATAAGGATTTTTGTTTGTTTTTTCCGTATATATTTTTTTCATACTGTCGGATCTATATCCATATATTTGCTTACATATATATATATATATATATATATATATATATATATATATATATATAATCCAAAATGTTGGTTCAACCAACAGAAAACCTGCCAAATTCCAAGTTAAGAAAGATAAATTGCAAACACCTACATAAGTAGTAAATGAAATTGCACAACGACCAAACTATCCAAACAGACCGAAAATGCTTCACATCGTCAACTGTTCTCATATATATATATATATATATATATATATATATATATATATATATATATATATATATATGGAGGTGGAAATGTTCTGATGAGCTTCATTCTTTAGTTCCGTCAGCTCAAAACCTAACATCCAAGACGTGCGTTGATACACATCTACTGGATTGACCCCCACCCCTCATTCGCTAAGTGTTCATTTGGTAAGAACGGCAATATCATCCAAAAGTTTCTTTCCGAGAACCGCTATTACGTGGCACATGCCCTAGATTCTAGAATTATTTCTATCGCAAATACAAATAAAGTTATAATTTTTTTAAAGTACACACGAACTTTATGGTCACCCTGTATATCCATGAGTTAATGATAACACAGTATTTCATGGACTGAACTAAAGAGCTGGAAGAAAATGAAATGACAAACATGCTTTTTTAATAATGCTAAGATATACAGAAAATTCTTAATACATGTTTACATATATTCGTCGCTGAGAAAATATAACATATATGCAACAACAAGCAGTGCAAAAAGGTATCGAAAAGAATGACTTATTGTAGAATAATTGTAAACGGGAACTGGAGAAGCTGGAGATTCGTCTATGTTTCTGGAGAAGACATATTCAGGATTCGGGATATATTTGCTACTTCATTATCGTGGAAACATTCCACAAAGGGGAAACGGTGAGTCTTCGGTTTTCCCAACTTGAGGACTACGAGCCGGATATATTTTCTATATCTGGTGAAGATATATTTGAGAGCTGCATCACGTGGCTGGGAGAGGCAGATTTAGCCTAAACCGAGTCAGCTGAGGGACTAAAAAAATAAAACAAACAACAGCTCGATTTGTCTCCTGGAAGCTGACTGACTGCCACTTTTGTTACTGTATGAAGTGACGTCACCAAATGACCGTCACTTGACCAACGTGACTTCCAATCGATCAAAGGGAGATAATCACTTTTTGTATCTGTTATAGTAATTTACCCATGCAAGCATGGACTCTCCCAGTTACAAGTAAGTGCAGGTACTGCCTTTTAGAGAGGGTAGTTTCCAGGAGTCAGCTCTGACAGTCGGACCGAATATTCTTGATCGTTTGTAAATGTCTTGTATTAATTTTTCTGTTAATATATTTGTTTAACTCAATTCCTCTCTTTGTGCGTTTATTTCCGGTCCCTACAACATCTTCATATACAGGATCAATTGTAATACGTCCACCATATCCTCGTAAAATTTACGTCCTTCTTCCTGCTCTTACGTTGGCATAAAAAAAAACCTACTCAGTAAATTTATGCTATGAGTGACTCTTGGACTATATTTTGGATGAACTTCAGTAAAATAAAATATTCATATCTTCTGTTCGTGAGAAAAAAGCGACATTAAATTCATAAGTAAAATAGCGTATGTTATGCGGCGTAAAATTATATATACACGTGTGTATTCATTTTATTTGGTAATATTAATTTTTTTAGAGTTGTACCCGAGAGATTTTGGGTGTGTAGGTGTAAAATTGAAATGGAGAAAAGTTTACCTTAATAGATTTCTTTCTATGAAATATTGTGACTCGGATTCTGTGTTACCAGGTGGCTATTTCTAGCGTCTACACCCTCGAAAAGTTGAACAACTACATTTATCGCGAGAGACGGAAAAGGTGGAGATTTTACTTTTTTTTTTTTTTTAGGGAGTTCGTTTTTGTTTCTTAAAAGTTTTATATTTAATGATAACAAGAATGTTCCCAGGGCAGAAATATTGATTTTCGGCACAGAAATGTAAGGAAAAATCTTTCTGCCAATTTTCACAATCCAATTTCTTAGTGTCACTGAGATCTTTTCCAGTATAGTACGAATTTTTATGGGAATATTAATCCATGGCCAAAACTGTGAAAAAAGCTACAAGCATAAGTAAACGAAAAGAATTTGTTATATACAGTTTGGAAACAGAAAGTAAACCTGCGTGGTCCTCCTCAGAGACTTGATGACTGATTCCAATAATAAAAATGCTGATGGATTGTCGGATCTACGAACCTCATGGTTGAACATTTTACACACACACACACACACACACACACACACACACACACATATATATATATATATATATATAAGGGCAAGTAGCCTAGTAGTGTGTCTGTCTATATTTCTGAGATGAGGTATTATAAATGTAAGTAGTGTGAGTATAGATATAAAACTTTAGTATTTTTTGTGTTGCTCCGAAATCAAAAAAAGACGATGAATCCGTTCGAACTTCAAAGTCGTCAAACTGATTACAAGCCTAACTGAAAAACCGTAAATAGTTTTACAGTTAGGCCTGGAATCCTTTAATATCTTAAAACTTCGAACCTTATTCTCTGATGAAGCTTTACTAAAAGCCAAACATATTTGGCTGATAAACATTTCCTATATATTCTTTGTTTTATCCTGTCGGATTCCGGTCCATATATGATCTTTATTTGATCTCAACGCATGCATAGATAGATAGATAGATAGATAGATAGATAGATAGATACCAACAGCCTGAACTAGATAGATAGATAGATAGATAGATAGATAGAATGATAGATAGATAGATAGATAGATAGATAGATACGAACAGCTTGAGATCCATATCTATCTATCTATCTATCTATCTATCTATCTATCTATCTATTTATCTATCTATCTATCTATCTAAATGGATCCTCACTTCTGCTTAAGCGCTTAACAGGGAAAACGGAATTCTTAATGTGCTTTTAGATTCTATCTCAGTACCATTCCTTAAAAAACAGTATGCATTTGGCGTTTGCTTTTAACTGATAGACCAATGTTAAAAGAAAACTTCGATCACAAATGATCGTCTATAACTCATATATGCACTTCGCATTTATTTGAATTGGTGCAATACATTATTTCTTCTTTTAGAAGCAAGACACGCATTTGACCTTGTACCTCATTAAGTGCAATTTATGAGTTTCCATTATACATTTTATCGCAAACGACACGTATTTTTTTTGTTATTAATTGCGTTAACAATAGTTGCCGTTTTGATTTATTCTTTGACACGTTGAATAGTGAATAGAGTTTCTGTTGCAGACGTTCGAATAAATACAACATGGCGGAAGTTATTTATCGCCATATTGTCGCATTAAAAAAGGTGCTAAATGCATCTATAGACCCAAGCGACGAGAAAAAGATACGGGGGAAAGTCAATTAAAGGAGAATATTATCTTATCTAATAAAAAATATAACAAATTTTATTATGAAATATAGAGACAATTAAGTTATAAGTTGTAGCTATTCTCTTTGCATGAATAACAGAAGCTGTATTCCGTGGCTTCTAGTCTACAAGGAGCTAAAGTTGTATGGGTGTATCTATTGAGACTCGGCTGTTTGTGGTACACATTCTTTGTCATCTGCGTACGATGGCGGGCGTTTGGGCTGTGATATCTTTCTGGGACAGACGAAGGCTTTTCAGGGAAAACAGTGAACGTAAAAGCGTTGAAATGTTTTATCACAAGATTTGTCTGTGTCAGCTCTGTGAAGAGATGCTCTAAATTCCCGCTCTCGTGTTTGCCTAAAAAAACAAAAAAAAAACTTTGGATGAACTCGGCGTATGATTTTTCAGACAGTTTCCAAAGATGCCTCACGCAAAGATCGCCTCCCCAAGCAGATAACATCAAGGAGTCACCTTCTTAACAAATCAACAGCGGATAGATTTGAACACGGGTCTTGTTCTAACCAGACGGTTTCGCGCGCATTGTCTCTTCGTAAACAAAACTTAAATTAAGATATTTGATTTGGAATGAAATGCATCTAATTTCAATGTATATGTCTGTGAAGTGTTTGGGCAGAAAACGGTAAATAAGACACTGAGATCCAAAGACATATTGTGATGGCCAAGGGTGCATTCCAAAAACTAGGCAGAGTATTACAAGACAAGAGGATTTTTTGGTTACAAAGAAAAGAGTACTTGGCTGCTACGTGAGATCTGTCCTCCTTTACGACGGCGAATTTTTGACGGTCTCCTCAAAGATGAAGAAGAGATTCGAAGCAACAGTTGTATGGTTCTACAGAAGGATGCTAAGGATACCATGGACCGAGCATATTTTCAAAGATGAGGTTAAGGAGAGGATGCAAACAATGAGGAAGCTTATACTTAACATCAAGAAGAGGCAACTGAAATTACTGGGATACGTAATGAGAAAGGAAGGCTTGGAGAATCTGATACTCACAGATCGAATAGAGGGAAAGAGAGACAAGGGAAAGCAACGTATGATATATCTAGCGGGCTTAAGCAAGTGGGTGACAGAACAGGATTTGGGAGAAGTATCAAACGGATAAAACTTATTGAGAGTTACAAGTGATAGTGGGGAAGTGGAGAAACATGATCGCCTACGTCCTGTTTGAAATAATAACATAAGAATAAATATGTCTTTTTTTCTACTACTATTAAAAGTTCTAGATATAAACATATTGAAAACGAATTGAAGCAAGCGTTTAGGAAATTATAATATATATTTTTATTTATTTGCTTGAGAGTGTTTCCTTTGATATTCGGTGTCAGAAGAATGTTCGTTTCTGTAACAAAAGAGAAAATCACGTACCTCGAAAAAGAGTTCGTGTTTTGGGTGTGGTCTGCCGAAGGAAAGTTAAAGAAAATTGTTAGCAAAAACTTGCCATTTTAGGTATCAGAAGAACTATGCTAATGTTCTTTCCTCATTGACTAGCGTGGCCAATCAGAAAAAAGGCTTTGTGAATAAAGGCCGTTGATTTGATTAACGATTGGAGGACGAGTTTTTATGCTTGGTGAGCGATAGCGAATTTCCTCTGTTGCGAGTGAAAGGTTGGATTTTTGAACCCGTTTTTGGTATTAATTTGCCTGCTGGACTGTTTACGACCCCTTTGAGTTTTTGAAAACTGAAATGCGATTGAACTTATTCTTGGCAGAAGAATTTGTTTTGCTGACCCCAAAGGTTAATACTCTAACAGTTTATAAGACGAATGTTGGTAGTAGCTTGAAGAAAGTCAGAATGTGATAGTTTTTAAGTCGGACCGTGCTAGGGGTGTTAGTAATATGAAAAAAAGATCAGTGTTAATCTACTTTTTCTCGGCTCGAAGCAGAGCATATTATCACTTGCAGATGATCTCTTAACTACTTCTTCGTGCGTCACACATAGCTGTTTTCTCCTTCGATAGTGTCTTTTGTTCCGTCTTCTCCTACCGTCATCCTAGCTCAGTGGTATCAGCTTATATTCTTTTGAATATTCTCCAAGACTTCGAGCGGGAACTTTCTTTTCAGCTAACATCCAAAGTCTCTTTGTGTTAATTTTTTTGATTGGCCAAAATTATTTTATTTTTAGCTGTTCCTTTCTTTTTCTTTTTTTTTTTATAACGGAAGTTATGCGTGAAGCCTCCTTGATATTTGCTAATTTTTAGTCACAAGGCTCGGCTTCCGTCAAGTCTGGTCAGTACATACATGGGTGACCGCTCGGGAAAACCAGGTACTGTAAGCTTGGATGTGTGGTTGGTGTAATGGATAATTTTTCATCGGAGATCCTAGTTATAAATGCAGTTGGGCTTGTTATGTTCACTTACGCGGAAATAGTCTTGGGAAAGTTATGAATTCTCCCTCCGGCTATGGGTTAATTAGTAAGACATGTATAACTATATCTAACAAAAACTTACAATCTGGGTTCAGTCTATTCTTCTTCTTTTTATTTGAGCTTTGCCGTCTCGTTATTTGACAGAAGAGTATATAAAGACAAATACATACATATATATATATATATATATATATATATATATATATATATATATATATATAATAGCAAATATATGGATATAGATCCGACAGTATGAAGAAAAATATACGGAAAAAACAAAACGGAACGCTGATCTTATAAAAGATTTCAGTTATCTGCTTGGATTGGTCTTGCTTTTATGCCCATCGTCTTTTTCATGTTGAATTGAATATGGTCTATGTTAATTATGTTTTATGAATATGTCCTGAAGATGGTTTATTAGACCGAAACGTCCGACGTTGACATTATATTAACATTAAAACAGCATGTTAGGATTTTTCCGTATATTTTTCTTCATATATATATATATATATATATATATATATATATATACAGAGAGAGAGAGAGAAAGAGAGAGAGAGAGAGGGAGAAAGACAGAGAGAAAGAAGGGTGTTAAAGGAAGGCGCAAATGCCTTATTTTAATTTGAATTTTTTTTATTTATATATTTATTTTTTATAATTTATTTTATTTGGCTTTTATCGGAACTCAATACAGTTAGATGAAATTTGGTTTTATAATTTTCTTCCCAGATAGGAAGCGCTTCCATTAATCTGAAGGAGATATATATTTTTAATTGGCCAGGCTTGATAGTGATTCACATCTCTAAGTCTGGTAATAAGAAAGGAGTGTATCTTTCGATTCTCATTGAATCCACGTCGATACTTGAAGTTTCCGATTTGTCACATGGCTACAGGGTATGCGCCCGTTCGAGAAATCTAAAAATCAATCTAATTTGGCCCGCCTGTGACCCTGCTGCGAACAATCCAGAATATGTTGAAATTCCTATAATACCTAATGAGGAAAGAAATTAAGCGGACGCAACTATTAAATAATAGTTTAGTAAACTATTATTTTTAGGGGGAGGTTTATCTCTGCTCTGATTCAAGGGGTTGATCTTAGGGATCAGATAAAATAAGAATGTTGATTTTGAGTGGCTGAACGAGAGTGGGAATGATAGAAATGTTAAAAAGTTTTTTTCAAGCAGTCAAGTCTTAGTCGTCGAACTATGTAGACGTCTTTCCTTTCGTGTCTGGAAACATCTTCCCCGTGGTGGGAAAGCAAACCAACTGGATAGTAATGTATACGTCGATGTTAATAAAATAGTTAAGTAAAATTCTCTGTGTTGAAGTTCTTTTATCTTTAAATTAAAACAACTAGCGATCACCGGTCGGGTAAAGACGTGCGAGTGAAGAATGCCACTTTATTATGGAATTGAAGCCGTCGTCCCAAGACCACCACCCACCAAGGGTCTACGCAACATAACACTCGCAAGGGTATAATGTGTCATTGTTATAGTGGAACACACCTATTCTATAGTTAATAGACTCTCCCACCTATAATAAGTAGGAGTAGTAAGAGTAACGGGTCAGCCAGTCAGTCCCTAACTTTCTGACCGACTGTTCGGTTGAACTCTCTGCCTTCGGGCGGAGAGGAATCTGAACGAGGCTTCGCCGAGGTGCGGAGTCACGTTCGGGGAGGTGAACCGGCCCCGAGCCCGTTTATACGGGTTCAATGGGCATATTTTTAGGCCGAGCCCACGGGCTTGGAGAACCCACAATAAATAACCGACCATGTGTCACATGCTGCCTCAGTGACTGAATATCGTCAGTCAGTCGATCTCGGTCGACCGGCTGATCGGTTGAACTCTCTGCCTTCGGGCGAGGAGGAACCCGAAAGGGGCAACGCCGAAGGGCGGAGTCTCTTTCGGGGAGGTAAACCGACCCTGAACCTGTTTATACGGGTTCAATGGGCATATTTTTGGCTGAGCCCACGGGCTCGGAGATCCCACGTCAAAAAGGCCTTGTGCCACATGATGCCCTCGTGGGG